GTCCCCCGGCCGGGACCGGCAGACCAACCACTGCTACATCGCCATCCTCAACATCATTCAGGGGGAGGTGGATCCCACTCAGGTAGGTGAGGCCCCTTCGTTCCACCCTGGACCCTGCAGGGGTAGAGGAGAGGCGACCACCACCACCCCTGTGCCCACCCCAGGTCCACAAGAGCCTGCAGAGGATCCGGGAACGGAAGCTGGCCAACTTCATCCCCTGGGGCCCAGCCAGCATCCAAGTGGCCCTGTCCAGGAAGTCTCCCTACCTGCCCTCTGCCCACCGGGTCAGTGGGCTCATGATGGCCAACCACACCAGCATCTCCTCGGTGAGACTAGTCTCCTGGTCTTTGGCTGCTCTGTTCCACTAGCACCTTCATCATTCTCCCCCCATCTGTTCCAACCTCCCTATCCTACACTGGCTCCCGTCATGGAGATTTCTCTTTCAGCTGTTTGAAAGTTCCTGCCAGCAGTACGACAAGCTGCGGAAGCGGGAGGCCTTCCTGGAGCAGTTCCGAAAGGAGGACATCTTCAAGGAGAACTTTGATGAGCTGGACAGATCCAGGGAGGTTGTGCAGGAGCTCATCGATGAGTACCATGCAGCCACGCGGCCAGACTACATCTCCTGGGGCACCCAGGAGCAGTGACTTCCTCACCACATCCCTGGATAGTAAGCACCTTCCCATCATGCCGGTCCCTCTGACCCACATTCCCTTCACCAGCAACCCTTTTAGGTTCCTCTCCAGCCCAGAAGGTTGCCCTACTCCCTCTCCCATGCCCGAACCTTGGATATGCTTGTTTACATCTAACAAAATAATAAAGCTTGGTTGTGAAGATAATCAGGTTTTGGTCTGTGACTATATAGGGATGAGGAAGGGCCCTCCATGTTCCCTCCCAGTGCCCAGGTAAGTGGGGTAGGGTGACCTTTACCTGCTCTACCTTCTTACCACTTAGTCCAGGTCTTAGTGTGTCTGTTTCCCTTAACATCCTTTGCCTAGAACTAGGCTGTTTCACTGAAGTTAGTCCTACCCTCAAGACTATAGAGGACTCATTACTGAGGTCTGCTATCTCCTCCATGCCTAAGCTCCTAACCCAGGGTGGATGAATGTTGCCCCAGCCTCCTTTACTCAGGAATGAGGCTGTAAGGATTACTGAAGGAGGGCCAGTGTTCTGAGTAGGACAGGAAATCTGGGACTCTAGTTTCCCAGTGCCCTAGGGCAGTGGTCAGCAAACTCATTAGTCAACAGAGCCAAATATCAACAGTACGATTGAAATTTCTTTGGAGAGCCAAATTTTTTAAACTTAAACTATATAGGTAGGTACATTGTTATTAACTTAATTAGGGTACTCCTAAGGCTTAGGAAGAGCCACACTCAAGGGGCCAAATAGCCGCATGTGGCTCTCGAGCTGCAGTTTGCCAACCACGGCCCTAGGGTATCAGATCCTCAGGAAATCAACCCCATTCACTCTGATCTGATAAAGCAGCAACAGACCTCAGGAGTAGGGCTGAGCCCATCCTGACACGCTCTTTATCTGTGCCAGAGAAGTTCCTGGGTCTAATCCTGCCCCAGGTTTCTCTCCAATCCAGGCCCAAAGCAATAGGCACACCACAGATGGATCTAACCAGGCCTTTCAAGCTGGACACCAGGGTAGGAAACTGGGTAGTGCTAGTCCTGATGACTCACTGCCCTCTGGCCTCAGGGATACCAGGAGGCCACCTTTGTGCACTCATTGGAGAAGAGTAATTGCCAGCTTCTACAACTGCCCTTATCTACCTCACCCATCACCCAGTGGCAGCATACTGGCCAGGGAGAGGTTAAATCCAGACAGTAAAGGAGGGTGGAGCCCTGTGGTATCCAGATTTCCCTCAGTGCTGGTAAAAGCCCAGAGTGTGGGCGTCCCCAGGGGTGGAGCTCTGAGCTATGGGGCTCCAACTTGTCCCACTGACAAACTCCCACAGGAAAGGTTTGTGTAAATAAGGATTTTTTTTTTTTTTTTGCTTCTCTTCTACAAATAAATTAGGAAACAAACTAGAAAATTGTCTGCACCCATTGCTGCCCTTGGGTGTGGGGTATGCCCTGTCCCTGCAGGGCTAAAAGGGTCCATGGTTCCCTCAAATCTCAGAGCAGTCCAGATCCAGGCTGGAGATGGAAGGGAGGTCATGACCTCTTGGCAGGCTCATTTCGGCAGCTGCCCCAAACAGCCAGAGTGTCCCTGGGGCTCGTCCAGGCCCGGGTGCTGGCTGGGAGGGGAGCTGTCTGGCAGGTCTTGGCATGAAGAAGAAGGACTGCTGCAGGGCCTCTCGGGGGAGGGGTTAGCCAAGTAGGCATTCACCAGCTGCATGATCTCTTCCACCTAAGAAAGGGCAGAGGGCAGAATACAACAGTGGCGACTGGGTTCTCCTGTCTCACCCTCCACCCGGCCTCCTTACATGAGCTGCCCCCACCAGCCTTCCTTCCTCATCACCACTCTCTCACTCACAATGTGCCAGTCACACTTCCTTCTTTGGGCTCCTCTAATAAGCTAAGTTAATTCTCAGCTCAGGGCCTTTGAACTTGCTATTCCCTCTAACTGGAATGCTGATCCCATAGAACAGCGGTTCTCAACCTGGGGGGTCTCAACCCCTTTGGGGGTCGAACGACCCTTTCACAGGGGTCGCCTAAGACCATCGGAAAACACATATATAATTACGTATTGTTTTTGTGATTAATCACTATGCTTTAATTATGTCCAATTTGTAACAATGAAAATACATCCTGCCTATCAGATACTTACATGACGATTCATAACAGCAGCAAAATTACAGTTATGAAGTAGCAACGAAAATAATTTTATGGTTGGGGGTCACCACAACATGAGGAACTGTATTAAAGGGTCGCGGCATTAGGAAGGCTGAGAACCACTGCTGTAGAACTTCTTGTGCCTAGTTTAGATGCCACCTTTCCTGAGTATACTTTCCTGACCATCCTACATAATGCCATGGCCCCCTCCGGTCACACACCCTTTCCCTTGTAGCATTTGTCACTCTATTAAATAGTCCACACCCCTCTTTCCCACTCACCTGGGGACTCTGCAGGAGGAGCTGGCTCTCTCCCACCCTCAGTGCCAGGGTATGGGGGCCCATCAGCTGGCAGGCGGCCACGTGACCATAGCTGACACTGTGGATGGGCTGTGTCTCACCGGGTCGGGAGAGGGACATGGCCTTGGCTCCCAGGCCCAGGCATAGCTTCTGTGGAGCACCCCCACCAGGCTCCTGGGGACAGACAGGCAGAGTCAGGGTGCAAAGAGAGGACCCTGCGGCATTATTTTTGGAGGGAAGAGATGGCTGAGAGCAGGAAGTTTCCCGGTCCCCCTATGAACCATAGTGAATGTGTGGAGGAGGGGCTAAAGCTCCAAAGGTGTGGGGGCCCAAGGGCCAGTGACTCCTGGGGTCTGAGATGGACAGCTGTGCTGGGTGTAGGGGGTGAAGTGGCCCACAGTGGGGGGCCTCTGGCTCTGGGGCAAAGGTGTGGGGCTTGGGCCACCAGAGTCCCCTTCTCCCGTCTCCCCCTCACCGTGCTCAGCTCCAGAACTTCATACCGAGCAGCGCCGAACCCTGGACACTGCGCCGCCAGGGCCAGGTAGGCAGCCATGGCCTCAGCTCGGCCCATGCCCCG